AATGTCTGTGCGTCTTATACAACAAATGTAGCCGAAGCCCCGCCCACACGTCAGCCCCTACCCTTTGGCCTCTGCCTCCCAGCAATTTGCCTCCTTGCAGCAAACAGCCTGGTCAGCTTCAGCACAGCCTGATTTAGCACAAGCAGCTGATTAGTGGGTGGATCTGCCTCCCAGAAACTGCTTATCAGCTATTCCAGGCTGCGAGGATCGCCACTGCCCATCACCGCTGCTGCCTATCGCCACGTCTGTGTGCCCCATTTTCAACCCGTTGCAGGCAATGGACATCGCCGTTGCCGCCTATCCCCACCATCTGGAACATGCCAAAAACGGGACACACAGAGGCTGAAAATGGGGTGCATGGAGGCGGTGATAGGCGGCAGCGGCAATGGGTGGTGGCGATCCCTGCAGCCTGGAACAGCTGATAGGCAGTATTCCAGGCTGTGCTGAAGCTGACCAGGCTGTTTGCTGCAAGGAGGCAAATTACGCAGAGGCAATTTTTTTTCTTGTTTTCCTCCCCAGAAGCTAGATACGTCTTATAGTCCGGAGCATTTTATAGTCTGGAGCAAGCTAGATAATGTCTTATAGTCCAGAGCATCTTATAGTCTGAAAAATGTGGTACTTTTAGAACACAAAGAATTATAGCAAAATTTTCATAAAATATTAATTTTTAACACTGCATCCTATTATCATCCTTTTAACCAGAATGTATAGGATAAATAATTTGGGACTAGTTTAATTCCGGCAAGAAATGTTGATTTGACTAATATTTCCTCTAATGGATACTTTTCGGTTTTTGCCATTTGTCTGAATCTCTTTGAAATATGATTACATCATGTCAGAACTAAACTTGACTCTCTTAATGCCACTGATAATTGTAAAAGTTACACGATAGACGTTTGAATTGAAAACCTTACACTTCCAGAGGGAAATGTGCAGTCCCTCTGGTGTTGATCTCTCTTCCTATTATTTGCTTTGTCAGCGTGTAGAAAATGAGATGAATTGATACAGTAGAACAATGTTATAAATATAGAAAAGAAAAAACAACAGTGTTATTCACATACTTTGTGGGAGTGACGTGAACTTTGTTTATCACAGTCTGTGTAAAGCTTTCCTTTTTACCTAGTAAGCAGTTACAGGAAACTGGAGAGGCTTTAGTTTTGCAAATCTGCTTCCTTACTACACAGTTCATTAGGCACTCTGCTCTTTTCTCCTAAACAGAATTAAACTGGGGAGAATTGTGAGTTGTTTCAGCTGGATTACCTATTGCAGGAGACATCTGTTTGACCTAAAACAATAATAATGAAACATACTTTGCTTTTTTAAAAATTTTGATGAAAGATGCATTCCTTAGAAACTCTAATGAAAACGAGGGGTTCAGATAACAGTATGCTATGTAGTTTGTGCGAATAGGCTCTGCATATTCAAATATATAGCTAGAATTTTACTTTACATTTTTTGGAAACTTGATTGATTGGCAGAGTACTTCAATAAACATACACTGAGGTCCCAACTCAGCCATCATATTCATTGATTCTCATTGGGGGAAGACTTTTACCCTATATCACCATTTCTAAAATTTGAATAATATTCTTCCCAGTATTATTTTGTAGCAAAAATTGCTTGATTGTTAAGGATCTCTGAGGAAAATAAGCATTATATAATTCTCTCCTACTAAAATCAGTAGTAGGAATACTGGAAGCTAGCTTTAAGCTGCTGCTGTAGGATTAAATACCTCTCAGAATTAAACAAAGAACAAATGTTATTAATGTATTTTTAAAAATCATAAAAGCAAGAACAATAAAGCGCATATAAGAGTAGTTATATCAATCATGAAGACAGTTTAGGAAAATGTTGCTAAGACAGCAGCCCAGAAGCATTTTCTCATGGTGGTGTTTCCTTCAATCCCTCTTAAATGTCATGCAATATTTACATGATTGCACTTCTAGAAACACCATGAGAATTGTCCTAGTTTCTAGCCTCAGCATATTACATGACCTTGAATCTGCAGTGCTAGGGAAGATTATATGTGTCAGTAGACCAGCTGATGGCATTCTTTAAGTCCCTATTATTTTTGCTAAGGATTGAGTGCTTTATACCTTTTATATATTTGGCTTGATTTTAGATACAAAGAAAAATATTGGTTGTTTTCCCATTTTTCCTTGCCAAGAAAGAGGCAAGGAAATTATTGGTTAGAATCACTTAAAAGAATTTCTAGACTTTTCCTAGACATTTCAGAACATACGGTTTGTGCACATTAATTATCTAATCTTACAAGTAAAAGGTAATCAAGCAGAGACAATTTCTTCTTTTAATGTCCGTAAGAAATTAACTACTAATGAATGCATCATCCCTCATATATATCAAATATTGTACACTTGGTTTCTGTACTAATTTAACTATGAAAACATAATATCTTCAGACATTATGTGAAATTTCAAATGTGAGTGCTTATTAAGAGGCATTTTGATTTATCTCAATTGAAGCTGAGATAAAAAAACCTATTTCAGACAGATAATTAAAACCATTTGAAATACGTTAATAATTATTTTGTACAAAAATCCAGTCAATATCCTTAAATAGACTTGTAGGCTGATAACTAAAATATATGCATACCACTTTTATGGTATTTCCTATTGAAAATACTGAAACACAGGCTGTAGTGTAGCAATAAGAAATTTTTGTGGGTCCTTGGGAATTTATGTTAGAACAGGCATTTTAGTGGATGTTCTTTTGCCCTGGCAAAATAAGTTTTCTTGAATCTAGTTCAGTTTACTTCACTATATTGTAGTATTCAGTGTTGGCTAAATAGGAGTATGCTTAATTCTAAATTCTGTTTTTCTTACTTTATTTACCGGTAATTTGTTCCTCTTTTACCATTTTTATTTTTTAAAAAGCCTCAAAGCAGCGGGCGAGTGCATGAAGCTTCATTTGCGCATGCACACGCACAGGATTAGGTTGCACACACGAAACCATCCCTGCCTCTGCTTCCAGTCCATGGAGCCGGAAAGGTTGGGGACCACTGCTTTATAGCCCTCTCTAAGCGGTTCACAGAGTCAGCATATTGCCCCCAACAATCTGGCTCCTCATTTTACCAACCTCAGAAGAATGGAAGGCTGACTCAACCTTGAGCCGGTCAGGATCGAACACCTGGCTGTGGGCAGAGTTAGCCTGCAATACTGCATTCTAACCACTACACCACCAGGGCTCATATTGCTACTCTCTTTGCTTTCTTTTGTCACAGTCAGTCTTATTTCTATTTGCAATCTTTGTATTTCGTGATTTTCTTCAGTTCTTTCTCTTCTGTTTCACTGTTTCCAGATAATGCCATGACCACTATCCAGACATTTTTGTCATTCTTACCGACAGTTGTTATGTCTGAAGTATTACGTGGTATGTGCTGCCTGTTTGAATTCTAAAGTCCCAGAACACATCTTCATTTTCTATTACTCTATTTTTCTGATGTATTTGGAACATTCCATGCCCACCTATTTTCTTTTGTAAGTAGAGCCTGTCAACATGGTTGCAAGGATGAAGGGCATGTTTCATTGGCATTATTTTTCTTAATTATTAATCCATTATTTAATTTATTTGCTGCCCATCTTGCTATTCAAGGTGGCTCTGAGAAGCTAATACTCCTTCCTTCTATTTTTACAACAATAACCCTGTGAGATGAGTTGGGCTAAGAGGGAGAGACTGGCTCACACAGCTACCTAGCCAGCTTTCATGATGGCTAAGTAGGTAGCTTTCAGGTGAGATTACTTGGAGATAGGTGGAGTGGAAATTACAGTAGTTGGCATTTTCTCTCTTGCTTGGCTGTTTCTGTTTGCACATGGCTACTTTCTCTCTCTTTTCAGCCTTACCATGAAAGTTGTCTGTAAAGAGTAGATCTGCCCTATGATAATTTGTGTGGAAACAGTAAACCTTCAACAATCAACTCTCCTGCTTTCTCCTGTTCAGAAATCTTCCAATTTTAAGTCTTAATTTTTCCCCTCCTTCCTATGGGAAAATAACCTCTACAGCAGGTTTCCCAAACTGAACTTTGAGAAGATGCAGGCAGAATCTAGGAAAGGATTCAAAATCCAGGATTTTTTATTTTTTAATATCTTTATTAAAAAATAGTTTCATTATATGGTTTTCATTGTTCATTTGTGTTCATTTTTAGGGGATGTCTGTACACTTAAATAAACTTACTAAAGGGTTGTAACCATCTTGAGAAGTACGCCCATTTTTTTCCTTTTTCAAAATGTGTCAGAAAAGGGATTGAATTTGAAAGAGGAAAACTTCTCACTCAATTATAAATGCAGTTTGTACATGTATGAGATGTTGTACAGTATTTTGTGATTATTTATGCACATTTGGACCTCAGTAAGTTACTTTCTACTTAGAAGCAAAGCAAAGCGCTCCATGGCATAGGACCCGGGTACCTTCGAGACCGACTTCTGCCACCAATAGCCTCCCACCGACCAGTCCGCTCCCACAGAGAGGGTCTCCTCAGGGTGCCATCGGCCAAGTTATGTCGGCTGGCCACACCCAGGGGGAGGGCCTTCTCTGTGGGAGCCCCAGCCCTGTGGAATGAACTGCCCCCGGAAATACGTAAGATCTCCGACCTCCGGGTGTTTCGCTGCGCTCTGAAGACCCTGTTGTTCCGCCAGGCCGGGCTATTAACATAACGTTTTAAATTAGGGTATTTTAAATTTCTGGGATTTTAATTGGAGCCTAATTATTTAATGATTTTAAATTTTAACTGTTGTTTTGTTTCTGTGTTTTTAAATAGGCTGTACACCGCCCTGAGTCCTTCGGGAGAAGGGCGGTATAGAAATAAAATTATTATTATTATTATTATTATTATTATTATTATTATTATTATTATTATTATTATTATTATTATTATTTAGATTCTGGAAGTTTCTCTTAGGGCCTTTTCCCACTACTGAACCCACCAAGATCTGAACTAGGAGCCGCATCGCATGTCCTTTGCTGTTCCCACTGACGAATCTCACCTTGTCTCTTTTGCCTTTATTCTCAATCACTGCCAGCTATCTAACTTCACTCCAAGGCCTCTAAATGTGCCTGAACAGATTTTCATATATCTTGACGTTTGTTTTGGGTCTGTTGAAAAAGAAGAATTCCATTATAATATGAGTATACATATAGACCTTGACTTATGACTACAATTGAGCCCAAAATTTCTGTTGCTAAATGAGACATTGGTTAAATGAGTTTTGCCCCATTTTATGACCTTTCTTGCCACGGTTTTTAAGTGAATCACTGCAGTTGTTAAGTTAGTGACACGGTTGTTAAGTGAATCTGGCTTCCCATTTTGACTTTGCTTGTCAGAAGGTCACAAAAGGTGATCACATGACCTTGGGACACAGCAAGGGTCATAAATATGAAACATCTGAATTTTGATCGTGTGACCATGGGGATGCTACAGCAGTCGTTAAGTGTGAAAAATGGTCATAAGTCATTTTTTTCAGTGCTGTTGTAACTTCAAATGGTCACTAAATGAACAGTAGTAAGTTGAGGACTACCTGTATAGTGTAGCTTCTGAAATGGAATTGACTGAATGAACAGAAATGATAAAATGACACGAAATTTAAATTGATCAAAAGTGTTATTTTATTTATTTATTAACAAAATGTATATGGCCGCCCAATTCACTCTGTGACTTCGAGTTTTTTGCAAGGATAAAACCCCAATTCATTCTTGGTGCATTAGAAAATGAAGTACTCTAAACACTTGGAAGGATTTCCAAACTATTGGATGAAGATTCTGATAGTTATATTGTGTTTATATTTCATTTTCTGTACAATTTTTCATGCTTGCTTATTTTTCATTGTAGAAATAAGAGTAAACTATCAAGTCATCCAATCCTGTGTTCCATATCAGTTCTTTTTGGTTATCATCTGGGAACAGTTGTGAAAGGGTCCCTTATAATCCCAATCATGAGAGTCCCAAGGATTATTCTATTGTCTGTTTATAACATTCTGAAAAATAAGGTAGGCTCCAACTTTCGATTTCTAACACCGCCGCATAGCAATTGGGCAAATAAGTGTAGAAATGTAGTATCTAAGTAAGGAATGCAAATGCAGTCTTTCTTTATTTGCTTACTTTTATATTGGACTTTATTACTTAGCCTTATCTCAGCAGGCAACAGCTTAAAAAGCAATAAATTCCATTGTAACAGACTTACTATGAAAAGGATTCAAATCCTCATGATTTGCTCCTAATCCCTGATAGCTAGAAAAAAATACTGCACAAACGAAAAAAGTCTGCTTAGGCTAAGGACTAACTATCTTTGAGGGGAAGATCAAAATGACTATTATGAGTGGGTCAGAAATGGAAGGTATGTGGATTGATGTTTCAACTTTGTTCATGTAAAGTATCATGACCTCTGGAGTATTTAAGGCTCCAGTGAGACAAAATGAAAGAGATTTCCAGAACTTCATATATTAAAATTTAAGGTTGACAAGTATGCAATATTAAGTTTAAACGCATAGATCAAGTTAACCAGAAAGTAGTAGGAAAATGTGCAGGCTTGCATCTTTCTCATTCATGTTGTCCTTAGCTATAATTTAGGTGTCAAGGAAAGACAAGTATGCTTTGATAATATTTTGCAAACTAATGATGTAGTTTGAGTGGGTGTATCTGCATGACAAACCAAAACTACTACTTCTCCTTCACCATATTGACATTTTCCATAAGTGCACATGATGGAATTTTAACTTGGAGGGAGGGGGGGAAGCAAAGTGAGGATTAGACATTTACTTTCCCTTCTTGTTAATTTTGGCCATAATCAGGGCACTCTTCATCTATTTCTTAAGGTTTAAAAAAATAACTTAAGTGGGGAGAGCTGCTGGACACAGCTCATGAAGTTTATTCGGATGCCAGCCAGGAAGAAGAGGGCCAGGCAATGAATACCTTTTATTAATTGCTGCTTTCCATGGATCTGGTTAGCCTAAATTCCAAATGAATGTGTTGCATTGACCTTGGTCAATATTTCTTTGGGTTCATAACACTTCATAAATGAGTTATATATATAAACCTGTTTGGTGATGCAGATAGTCCTTGACTTACAATTGGTTGCTTAGCGGCCATTCAAAGTTACCATGGACCCTAAAAAGGGGACTTGCCACCCAGATCTGAAGTTCTGATGCTGAGTTTCTGCACCGCCCTATCCCCCCCAGTCATATAACCGGAACATTTACGGCCGTTTGCAAAATCCTGGATGATGTTTATGACATTTCTATTGAAAACCAGCATTTCACCGATAGCAAACCTTTGTTTATTTAATGACCACAGTGTTCGTTTTATGACCCCTGCATTCACTTAACAACTGCTGCAAAAAAATGTAAAATCGGGTTGATCACATGAATGACTTGTTTTACGATCATTACTTACAACCATAATGGGCAGACTCCATTACGATCATAACTCAAAGATAGTTATGAGTTATAACACATATAACTCATTATATAACTCCCTATAGTGTTTTAGATACTGTATTCCTTTAATTCCTAGCGAATTTATTTTATTTTATTTTTTATTTTATTTTGAATTTGTATACCGCCCTTCTCCCTGAGGACTCAGGGCGGTGAACAGCCAAGTAAAAACATCAAGTACAAATATTAAAATACAGTTAAAATATATATATATAAATTTGGCCCCATTAATTAAAAACAATAAACAAAACACTTAAAAACACTTAAAAAATTAGGCCAGCCCGGCTTGCTGGAAAAGGAAGGTTTTAAGGGCACGGCGGAAGGCACTGAGGTCTTGGATTCTCCTTATCTCTGGAGGCAATTGATTCCAGAGGGTAGGTGCCCCCACAGAGAAGGCCCTCCCCCTGGGGGTCACCAGCCTGCACTGTTTGGCTGATGGCACCCCGAGGAGGCCCTCTCTGTGGGAGCGCACGGGTCGATGGGAGGTCGTCGGTGGCAGCAGGCGGTCTCGAAGATAGCTAGGCCCTATGCCATGGAGCGCTTTAAAGGTGATAACCAACACCTTGAAGCGCACCCGGAAGACCACTGGGAGTGAAATGTTTTGTAGAAGAACCAAAATTATTCACTATATTGTTGGAACTTTTCAAAGATCCCTTAAATGTATTTCAACAATAACTGTGAACTTGTTTACATATTCATGTACATTGCTGTATAGTGTTCTATCATCAAACTTGTTTGATTGCCATCAGTGATGTTCCCATTATTAAATCTGACTTTACTTCATTTAAATGTACTTTATTTGCCTGGAATTGCTTATCTTACTTTCTCAGACACAGGGTGGATTTGATTTAAATCAAATGATTTAAATCACTAGTAAAAAGGCTTGATTTAAATCAACTCGATTTAAATCATAATTTTTAAAGAGCAACTGTCATCTCTGCTACTCTTTTGACCCACTGTTGACTCATCGATAGTCCCAGTGTTGCAGAATATACAGCCTCATGCTACATAACTAAGCTCCATTTCATGTTGAATAAACTAAATTATTTATGTATCTTAAATAGAAAACTATCTTACAATAGATTTTTACCCCAAAAGTTTTTTATTAAAATAAATTCGATTTAAATAAAAAAAATCCGATTTAAATTTTAAAAAATCTGATTTTTTTGATTTTTTTAAAAAAAATCATTGATTTTTATCCACCCTGCTCAGAAAGAAGCAATAAAATAAAAGATGGCAAATGTTGCAGAAGCACCCATAGAAAAGAAAAGCAGTGCAATGAACAGGGCAAAAAGAAGAAATTTTCTCAGTGAGAAAGGGGAAATATTATATATTATAGTTCAAAGTTTATTATTAATCTAAAAATTAAAACAGAAGTCTCTTTGGTATGGTTGCAACGTAGACACATATCTAGTTTGGGTGATGAATGGTAAAGAAGATGATAACTCCCTCTTTGAGGGACATGGACAGGACAGAAATGTGGATAAATAAATAAATTTATGTCAGAGAAATTTGACACTTGTCTCTGAAAATGGTCCTGAAATAAGAGGAAATTACATTTGAAAATCCTAGGTATGTATTTCCGAGGTTGAAAAATATCCTATATTTCTAAAATAAAATAAATGCTATCTATCATTGCAGGAGCTTCAATTTCAAGATTCCAAAGTCTTTTCAAGCTACTTCATAAATCATGAATATAATTGATGAATATGAATCTTATATTCTGTGCATGGGAAGTGTGAAGTGTTAGATTAGAAGAATTTGAAACACTTGCTTTTTAAATTCTGGTATCTTTGATAATTAATTTGCAACTTGTGCTTTTTTCCCCCAGGAGAATGTGTGTGCAAGGTGTATTTTCAAATGCTGTTTTTGCAGTTTCTGGTGCCTAGAAAGATTTGGATGTTTAAACCAGGTACATTATATAAATTGGATAATATCACATGCATAAAAATGAAAGTCACATGATAAAAGAAATGCTATGCTGATCAGTAATGTTTCCAAGGCAGTTACTATCCCAGTTTTGTGACAACTAGCAAAGAAAGATGATCTATATTTAAGAACCCTTTGCCTTTTTCATTCCAGCTGATTTTATAGAAAGCATGCAGGACTGTGCTATAAATCTTAGCTGAAATAAATCACATTGAGTTCAATAGGCCTATTCATTGATACATGGGAGGGTAGAATAGCTACTGTGATTTATAATGACTGATTTAACTAACGTGACTAAACTAGAATGGATCTAAATCTGATTATTTCATTCTGCCAGACATAAGCACCTAGTGAATTATAGTCTGCAAAATGAGAATATAATCAGCTTCTGTAAAAATCTAAAAGGAAACTCCTTCATTGGAATCAATGTCATTCATGGCATTATTTCTATCATACCCTGTAATCTGGGAATATATATTATTATTCCATACATTTTTTTCAGGTGTGTTTCCCCAGAATTATTTTAGACTTTGGTGGAATGCACGTTAATATAATAATATAATTACTGCTTTGAGTCCTGATTTTTACATGTGGGCAGATTGGTTTCTTGTAAGCCTTCCTCTTGTTTTGACTAAAGATTGCTGCTTGCCATTCTTTGACATACAGGAAACATTTTCATGTTGCTTTTTCTGGCGGGAAAGAAATTAATGTTTAGTATTCGTGTGAGCGAAACATTATTTCCTTGTTTAATGCAATAAGGAAAATAGGGGAGATGACAATTGGAAGATGAAGGCAAGCTTAGAAGTAATTTCAGCCTATATCCGTGGAAGGCACTGTTTTCAGTTGAAGCAGTAGAAATGTTAATTAATATCTGGCCATATGATAGATATTATAAAAGGCAATAAACTGAAATACTTAGTAGGTAGTTTGTATGGAGGAGTGGTGCTTTTTATTAAGGGGTTCCAGCTACTCTCCCCATCCACAAGAAATGGCTTTCATGGCTTGGGAATGCTTCTAGATACATCTTCATGGGACTTTATGAACGTACATGGCATGATATAACCACCTAATTTGACTACAGTAAAGTGCACAATTTGAGTCTGCCTGTAAAACTTTTTGGAAACCACAGTTGGTCCAAAATTTATGGTCTGCATGTTTTCTGGCTGTTGCAGATCCTGCATTGTTTACCAGATGGTTTCTGGATACAATTTAAGGTGCTGGTTTTAACCTATTAATCCGTTTATGGCTGAGACCATGGATATCTGCAAGACTGCCTACTCTAAGCAGTACCAACCCCATGAGTTAGATCATTTAATCTTGTTTTCTGTGTTGCTGGAAAAGGCACCAGGACTGCCCATAAACTGAATCTTGTTTAATAAAACTTTTCCCAATAATTACTGCGCCAGGTTTTCTTTCAAATCCCAATCTGGTGTGTCCAAGCAGTAGGGACTGTCTGGAATTTTAATCACAAAGGGGATACTTTAATTAGACATACTTTACTTTATAGCCCTTCCGTCTGCCCCTGGAGTTGTCTAGTTTGGGCATCAGCAAGGGAAGGTTACAGATTAATGATGATTAAACGTCTGGAAGGTATCAGGGCTCCGCTAAGACAAAAGAGGAAAATAATTACCTACTTAAGGTTAGAGCAGAAATTTGTTACCTTGTAGGTTATTTATAATTTTGTCCAACTTCTGTTTTAGAGGTACAATTCTTTTATTCTCTCTTAATTTGAGGGGTTTCTTAGTGATAATGCTTAAAGTCAATCTAGCAATTTATGAGTACTTTGGGGAGCTGTATTGACTGGTATCCTTTCCAGTGTCATACACTCCAAATATCTCTACTTTCTGGTATCTCTACAAACTCAGGGAAGGAACATTTAAAAGAAGCCACATTATGCAATTAAGAACTGGCCATAGGGGTGCATAAGTTCACATTGTATGTAGGGGACAAGACAAATAATCTTGCTATTTCAAGCTAAAGCCGTTTTGTTCTCTTGCGCATATCTGAAAGAGGCTGTGTTGTTATCCCATTAATATTTTCCTTTACTGCTATAAAAAAAAAACTACTTCCTTCTACAGCTTCCATCTGTCAGAGTCTCTGGATCATTACTTTTTCATTTTGCTGCACCATTAGGTCTCTGGGAGAGCTCTCTACATAGTGGGAAATGGCCAACTACTCTAAAAATGCAGGCAGGCTATGGATTGGAAGCTGGGTGTAGTTGTGTGCCTGGCTTGTTTTCAGTTTCTTTCCAGAGAAGATTCTGTTGCTATGGTGCTCTTCCTTTCACTGGGATAATTTTTAGAATCTTAGAATGGAAGATAGAATTTGGCTGTGACGCAAAGTAGCAATTATTTTTCACAAGAAGGATTTTTAAAGTATTGGACCTGTGCCATATAGCATTTCTCATGAAGCTATCAGGTCAGTTTTTCCAAGACCTTTGACATTCTGTCTGTGTTGGGAAGTGTAGATGTATTTTTTCCTAAACATTTTCTTCGTCTAGTAAACTTTAAATATGTAAACAACCCCATTCCTTATTTATCTGTTTCTTTGGTTCCCATGCATATTAGTGAAAAAAACCATAGTGAAATCCAGAGTAATTTACTCTGAAAACCAGAGTAAATATAAACTGTCAATATCTGAAGCTTACTTTTTTGTGATGTTCCCTTAATCAAGATATTTAGTTATGATACATAAATTAGACAACGATTTAAATCTTAACAAAATGCCCTTAACTTAGTCAATTATTGGGAGAATCAATGTTTGTTACTTTCAGTGTTTATCTTGACTGCTGCTTCAGTTTATAAAAGATTGTACTTAAGTATTAGTTCTAGAGTATTGTAATTATTACTAGATAGCTATTTAGAGTTCAAGGATTTGTATGCTAGGGTTTTTGTTTTGTTTTGTTTTGTTTTTTTGCCTTTTCTTGACTTCAGATTATGCACACCTGGAATCTGCTCCCAAGAGTGGGAGCTTGAATTAGGAGAGAAAAGAAAATTAGTTTAAATGGGAAAGAGGTCCCTTGTTTGCTGTTTCATCCTCTGACCCATTCTATAATGTTCAAGATGTTATCAGTCCTTGGGAGTAAATTGCAAGCAGTTTTATTAGGAAGAAGACAAAACCCCCACGATTTTCTTTTCAGAAAATTCATCCCATGAGGAAAGATGTTGAATAATACCTATTAAAGCTCCATGTTGGAATGTATTTCTTTAAAAGTACTAAAATATTTAAATTGAACTAATTAATAGCACAATATTTTAGATAATGGGATTGGTTTATTTTTATTGTTGATACTCTGTTGTGTGTTCAGGAAGTCATTGTCATATTACCCCCCATGGCAGCATAAATATTATGTAGAAGTTTCATGGATTACAATTGATTTCATGTATGTGTGTTTTACACTGTATTGTTTTAATTTGATTTATAATAGACGTGGATTTATATTTCTGTATTAATATTTCCCAACTCTCTCATGAAAATAAATCATAACTCATTGTGTACATTGACTTAATTTTCATAGGTTCCAAAGAACTAAGCACAGGAAAAAAGTAGAAATAGAATATTAATCTTAGGTTGTTGAAGGATATATTTAAACAGATGCTGAGAGCATTTTCAGTCCCATTCATGCCCACAATCAGAATTTTAATTCCAAATTGAGCATTAGAAGACTACACATTTCTTTTTAAGAATAACTTTTGCAGACTTATTAAATACTTATTAAATATGCCAGCATGAAAATTCTTCTTTTAGAGGACAATAGTGGCTCATTTTTCACCACATAAAATAAGGATGTTTAGAGCTTATTGGGAAAAGTAATTGTAGACTTTTGGGTATTCCTATTTATATGCTTAACTAGTTTGGTTCTTGAAGAATGAAGCTTACTGATCTCCACAGTTCTAAATAAACTAGAGAAAAGATTGTCCTCATATTAAAAATATTTTTAATTGAATGATATACAGTATATGTTTTGACAGTTAGATTAAAAGTTACGCAAGTAATTTCATTTCTACAGTATGATAAAATATAGATATTTATAAAAATAAGTTTAGCCAAATCCTAGTGTCTTGTTACTTCTGCTATTTTATCAATTAATTTTCTGATTGCAGAATGCATATGCGACAACTATCATAAATGGGACAAATTTTTGTACTTCAGCTAAAGATGCCAGTGTAATTTTATCAAAAAACGTAACTAGCACCATGGCAATCAACTGCTTCAGTGACTTTGCTGTCTTTCTTGCAAAGGTAAAACTTTATTAACCTTTTTTTTCCTCATTGAAAATCTTGTTTAGTCCATATGATGCCTCAGTCAGATTCAAGGTTAAATTCAAATTTTATGGAAATTAAATTGTTCTCTGGAAGCCAGTAAAATATATATGATATCCATGACCATGTTTAAGACTTGATCACGGAGCAAGTACCAAAGTTACTTGCTGAGCACATTGTAAGCCGCCCTGAGTCTTCGGAGAAGGGCGGCATATAAATCAAATTAAATTAAATTTAAAAAAAAAAAGTATTGTTTGGGCTGGTAATTGTGTCAAAGTATAGTGTGCATTGGGGTGATGTTAGCCTTGGATCCTTCTGTGGGCAGAACCCCCCCCCCTTAATTTTTTGTATTCATCTGATCATAATATATGTTTGTAGCCAGATTAGACCGACAATTGGTACATACATATGTTGATTGTAGTATCCAATGGGGACTTACAGTAGTTCCCGCACCACAATGTAGCTTCCAACACAATGGAAATGTGAATTTAGGGGGGGAAAAGTTCAAAGAAGATAACCAATTGTTCAAGTGATGGAAAGAAGAGATAGATGCCTCTTCATGGGAAACCTAGATTCATTCATGGAATGAACTAAAACAATGAAGACATTTTCTTCCGTTAACTTAAAGCAACATATGGCAGGACTGAAAGGCCAAACAAAAGTGAAGAAAATAAGAGTTTGAGTTTATTAGATTTCTATACCGCCCTTCTCCCGAAGGATTCAGGGCGGTGTACAGCCATATTAAAACACATAGACTTACAAAATTTAAAACCAATTAAAATCGAATATATATAAAAAATTTGGCCCACAAATTAAAACACACATACACCCATTATAAAATTTGTATTAGGACAGCCCGGCTTGCTGGAACAGAAGGGTCTTCAAGGCGCGGCGAAAGGTACGCAGGCCAGGGCTAAGACGGACTTCTAGCGGCAGCTCATTCCAGAGGGCTGGTGCCCCCACAGAGAAGGCTCTCCCCCTGGGTGTCACCAGTCGGCATTGTTTGGCCGACAGCACCCTGAGGACCCCCTCTCTGTGGGAGCGTATTGGCCAGTGGGAGGCTGTTGGTGGCCGAAAGCGGTCTCGTAAATACCCCGGTCCTAAGCCATGGAGCGCTTTAAAGGTGGTGACCAACACCTTGAATCGCACCCGGAAGACCACCGGGAGCTAGTGCAGCTGATAGCACTAACATGGAAGGTTTAGGTGAAAATATCCCAGCAGATTTTTGAAAACAGTCATAATCTTAATACTAATTTATTTACATTTATATGTCCATCTCACTATCCAAGCAACCCTAATACTAAGCATTTACATACAGTTGGTACCTTCTTTGGATGAGTTAACTTTTAAAATATATCTGATTTTATCCTAATATAGGTGTTCGTAGCATGTTTCACCATTTTTGGGGGCTTGATGGCATTTAACTACCACCAGGAATTAAAAGTTTGGGCCTTGCCACTGCTGCTGGTTGCTGTTTTGGCTTATTTCATTGCCCATAACTTCTTATCAGTATTTCAGACTACAGTGGATGTTCTTTTCCTTTGCTTTGCTCTTGATGTAGAAACAAATGATGGCTCTTCAGATAAACCCTACCTAATGGATCAGGATTTAATGGTAAGCACTCCCAAAAGCAGTTTATAATGTTTTAATTCTTTAAAATGAGGTAGTTATGTCAAAAGTTGATAGTAAACGTTTTTAGGACACCTGTATTCTCATCCAGTTTAGTGTTCTATTTTCCAATTGAGACATGGTGGCAAACATATTGTGAAACTTATTCCACTTTCTAATAGGAGTTTCTATTAGAACATACCCTAGATTTTCAGAATTTCATAGATGCTTCAGTGACTGTCATAAAGGTAAACTTCAAGAATTTTCCCCACTAAATTATCGTTTTTTTAAAAAGCCATCAGTCAAAATTGTACAACTATTTTCTTCTCATCTCACATTCTTTTAGATATTTTCCCCGAAAACTAAAGCTTACTATTATTCTCCAACAGAATTTCTTATTTAATGTTTTTCAGATAATTGAGCCATTTTTTATTAGAACTGTTAAAAAAATGTATTAATGAAAATATTTTTCCTGTTGATGTCAAATGCTATGTCTTTATAGAGTAGGCATTTAATGTGATTTTCTAAACATCTGTTTTAAACTTTACAAGATAATAATTGCAGTGCTAAATAGCATTAATTACATATAAGTCCCATTTAATGTGGGGGGGGGATTTCTTTTAAGTATGTTTTGGATTTCTTATTTAAAGCCCTACCCGATGCTCTTAAAACTAGACCTATAGATTCTATTGCTCAGAATCATTCTACCTAGAACTGTGGCTTAATTACATATTTTCTATATTGATGGAAAGTTATCTTAGTTTTAAATTTGTGCAACAAAATATGTCTTATGTAATTGTTTTGTAGGACAAATTAAACAGCATTTTATAGGAAATTAGTTATGTTACTGTTTTTGTTTCATGTATTCTTTTTTTACCCATCAAGAATATATAATTTGATTTGCTATGAGATACATGTTTCATCCCAGAATACAAAGAACTTTTGGTTAAAATTTAGTAGTGTTAAAATTTTAATATTGGCTTGATAATCTATTGATTTGAAGTTGCTCAAATAATAATAGTATTAAATATAATAAGTTTGGATAATGTATTGCTATTATTTGCAGAACTTTGTCTATCAGAACAGCAAGCTTGGAAAGATCAAAGAAAGAAATAGAAGAATATTTTATAACAATGAATACAGCATTGAATTGCAGCTTGTGGTAAGAGACAAACCAATTCTAAACGTCAGTAGATACGGCTGATTGCCTTGGGTTGCACTATTCTATTCTAGCTAAACATTTGATAACAGAAATCCCTCAATCAAATGTGGGTCAGTAGCAGAGAGGAGGGAGTTATTTGTTC